CCCTCCTCAGCTCCGTAGCACTGGAATGGTTGACTCACTGTCTGAGTCTCAAAGAATGCTCTGGAATGTCTCTAGGAACAATTAAGCCTTCAAGTTTATTGATGTGATTATAACCAAACTAACTTCCTATGTACAAGCATATACATTCTCTTTAAGCATTCATTTAGCTCTTCTCTCTTACTGTCTATATTTTTCTTATATAGAAAAGGAGCTTCTGAAAGAACTGGCAGATGAAGAAACAGCCTTGTTTTCCACTTGCTTCCTGGTGGCTTCTCAGACCCAGAGGGGAATGAGGGAGCTTCCTCTCCTGGTCTTTCCTACAGCCTTCCATCAGTCTTCCCACAGAATACAGCTTTTTTTTTTTTAACCGTAAAAATACAGTGGAACTTCTCAAAGCTCCCAATGGTTTTCTAGTTATCCAAGATTTTCTCTTTCTTTCTTTCTTTCTTTCTTTCTTTCTTTCTTTCTTTCTTTCTTTCTTTCTTTCTTTCTTTCTCTTGCTTTTTGGGTTATACCCAGTGATGTACAGGGGTTACTCCTGGTTCATGCACTCAGGAATTACTCCTGGCCGTGCTCGAGGGACCATTTGGGATGCTGGGAATCGAACCTGGGTCGGCCGTGTGCAAGGCAAACGCCCTACCTCCTGTGCTATTACTCCAGCCCCTAAGATTTTCTTATATACGCATGTCTTCATCTTGGTTCCCACTAACTGAAATCCCAGCTTTTTGTAACTATTTTGAAATGGTTTTAGTAATTCCCTGGCTTTTAAAAGACTGAGTTGAGAACTCTTTCAGACAGAACCCAGTATTCTGGGAACTTTTTTTTTTTCAGGCTGCTGCAAATTGAGAAAAAATATTGGCTGCTCAGGGTATTTGTGTGTGTGTGTGTGTGTGTGTGTGTGTGTGTGCACGCGCACATGCTATTCTATCCATTATTGTGGGTAATGCAAGATTTGTTGGGGTACCATTTGAATGTACTCAGGATGGTGTGTTAACTCTCAGAGATGAAGGTACTGGGTCACTGGGAAGATTGGGGGCAGGTCCACTTTCCAGTGTGGGAGGGTGGGGAACTGACACCAGGACTGTGTGGTAGAACAGTTCATTGGTGATTTTTGGAGGTTGTCAAAGGATGTCAGTTCTCTCAGGTGACTGAAAACCTGGGAATTGTCACGAAGACCATGCCAAAGGTACTCACTATTGAGAAGGAACAAAAATGACTCTATATGAAAAAACATTACAATCCGCTTCTCTGTGATTTGGTTATCATTTATATGGAGACCTATGTTTGTACGTGGTGAATTTGTTGTGTGTTGAAATGATTTTGTTTTGCTAATGTCTCCCATGTTTTTGTGCATATTCATGTAACTTCTCATTTGGCAATTTCACCAGTCAATAGCTTCTCATCAGCCTTCAGTCTAATTTCTTATCTCCCCATATCACTGCCCACACAATGTTCAGTACCTTCTAAAGTAAATCAATACTGTTCAGATATTTTAATTATATCTATTGTTCACCACATGGTCAAAAATTCCCAGATATGTGAAAAAGCAAGAGAAAAAACGAATAATGCATTCTGCAAGATATCCAAGATATAAACATGCCCTAACAATAATTTAATTTATATTCAATAATATTGAATAAATGACATAATTAATTTAATATGTCATGGATTATTTCTTAAGACTAATGAACTATAACAAAAAAATCAGTAATTTTATCTTATTTAAAAATATTTGGGGGGGGCTGGAGCTATAGCACAGCGGGTAGGGTGTTTGCCTTGCACGCGGCCGACCCGGGTTCGATTCCCAGCATCCCATATGGTCCCCTGAGCACCGCCAGGAGTAACTCCTGAGTGCAGAGCCAGGAGTAACCCCTGTGCATCGCCAGGTGTGACCCCCAAAAAATATTTGGGGGGGGTGTTCCAGGGGGTAGAAATCCAGGAGTGGAATATCTTGTTATTTCTAGACATTTTTTGTACTGTCTCTTGGACTCTTTTCTGGACTTTTTGGTATGGACTAGCTAACTAGTATGAAATGACTTCTTGTTGTTTTGACTTGAACTTTTCCGATTGTCAGTCATGATAAGCAAAAGTGTTTGTTATGTGGTTATTTGCCACCTGACAACAAAAATTATCAGTTACATCATGAAATGGAGAGAAAAGTCAGACACACACTTGGTTGACCATTTGACTAAACACGCGTTTGACTCCTCTCCCCATTTGAAGATGGGGTTGTTTGTTTTTGTTGTTGAGGTCTGTGTGTGCTTTATGTATCTTAGCCCTTTGTCTGATGCACTGGAAATGGTGGGGGACAGTGGGAAGAAATGAGGAGGATCAGAAGGGACCTAAGAAAGGAGAGGAGGAATTTTTGCACTTTTGTGTTGGTGATGATGCAGTAATTTTGTATGCCAATAGTGTAAATATTAATTCTATTACAAACCATGTTAACTTGATTAAAAATAGAAAAAGTAAAAATGTACTATAAGTGGAAATATCTTATAACTTAACATCTTTTCTTCCCAAAATTCAAGCAAATTGTAGAGATTCTAAAACAGAACTGCTTCTCCTTGTCTCTACTTTTGGGTAATAGAACTGTCATCTCTATGGTTGCTCCAAATATTGTTACTTACTGTGGCATTTATAGGATGCCTCACGAATATATCTGAACAGATTCCAGAGAGTAAGTACTGGAAACAAAAATTCACATTTATTAATACTTAGCCTTAATATTTACATATAAACTTAAAAAATATAAGACTTTTGTTATCAATGTCACATGAAATATATCATCTTAGCTCTTTTCTGGGATCACCGAAAAAAATCATCAGGAAATTGTTCATGTGTTTTCTGTTACAGAGATGAGTGAAGATGTGTGCCTCTGTTAACTAATATAACATATGCACTGGTAACAGAGAATAATTTTATAGAAAAAAGGAGTACCAAAGTGGACCTTTTTATCAATCATAGCTTATTAAATCCATAAGGTGAATTTCAAGGAACTATGTTGTTAATGAATTTTCTACTAAATATTATAGCACATGGAAATACATTTGATATACCAGTGAATATTTTACCTACAGAAAACATAAATCAGATAGATTTAAGTTTTATTTTACATCTCTGTGAAAAATCACATCATGTCTGCAGTGAGTAGCTCAATAAAGAGACTTTTCATTACTTAAAACCTGTTAGAAAGATGCAGTTATGAGGTGTCAGAGATTAATTATTTTTATTAATGAAACTTTCACTCATAAATGGAAACCTATTATAATATTAAAGAAAATAATTTGATTAGGAGTGTAGGTAACGAATATTGTTTATTCCAAAAAATGGAGCCACTAAGATCTGATTCTGACTTCTTTAAAAATTCTCTGTGACTCAAGAAAAATTGCTTAAATGATCATGAAATTCTGATTTGCTCTCAACAGAACAAACAACTCTGAAAGCAGCAATTATGTGTACCTAGGTCGAGAACTCAACATAACGAACGAACTGGCACCTGAGTTATACAGGAAGAAGAGCGTGGCATAGAACGCCTTCAAGAGTGTTGAAAAAATAGCTAAGAGGATGAAAAACCTTCGGCTCTGGGCACATCTCTTCGACTCCACCATTCTCCCTGCACTAACATACGCTTCAGAGACCTTGGCCCTACGGAAACAGGATGAGAACACTATTTGGGTCACCCAAAGAGGAATCGAAAGAGCTATGCATGGAGTATCATGCTTCACTCTAGTGAGAGATGGAATCTGGAATTCAGACCTTCATTGATGATTGAGAATCAGGAACACTGTCTCGTTTGCCAAGTCATTGAAAATCAGATGGGCTGGACACGTAATGCAATTTGGAGATGACTGCTGGACTAGAGCTATTACTGATTTGGAGATGACCGCTGGACTAGAGCTGTTACTGACTGGATTCCACATGATGTCGAAAGAACGTGTGGCTGCCCACCTATGAGATGGTCAGACTTCTTTGTCAAGACCCTGAACAAATGGTTTGAGGCTCTTCATGTTCCTGGAGCGAGCAGACGCCATTGGGCTACACTAGCACGCGACAGGGACAAATGGAGATGTTACTGGTACCTGCTCAAGCAAATCAATGAGTAATGGGATATCAAGTGACCAAGTGAACAAGTGATTGAAATGGGTGCTTCTTTTGTTTTCCAATTACTTATCCTCAGCATTCTACAGGCAGCAAGAGAAGATTCTTTATTCCTCAATGTCTGTACTTTGAGAAAATCTAAACCTCAATATAGTCATCAAAAAAGAAAACCACCACTGGCTCACTCTTCCAGTCTGTGTTCTTTCTCCCTTGAGCATGTATCTTGCTTGCTTGTTTCAGTGTTTCTCTACTTGCCTGTTTCTAGAGAGGCTTGTGTTCTCTCTAGAACATATACTTCTTCCTCACATATCTCCCCTCACATTTTTATAAGTTTCAATAAAACCTACTTTATTTCACAAAAAAAGATAGAAAAGAAAATGATCACCAGTATAAAATTTGTCTTTTAATCTCAAAGAAGGTCATAAATAAAAATTCTCTATTATTTATCACATTTTGCAGAGGCCCATTCCCAAACTGCAGACTGAAAGATGTTTATTTATTCTTTCTTTCTGCAAAGGTTTTATATTTGACCAATAATTTATTAAAGACACCAAAGGAGTACATGAGCAACTGTGAAGACCATAAACTGTATCTAACTATTAAGTACTTGATGTAGTTGTCAAAGGTATTAACTTCCAACTTGTGTGGACAGCATAGTTCATTTTGGGGATGAAGTTGAACAGGTGAAAGCCCTTTCAATTGATTTCATGTATTCTGATTTATCCCGTTAAATAAATGGGCATCACCTGGGGCATAAAATTTCATGAAATCCCAGTCAAGTTCTATTTAAGTTTCTTCAGGCATGCTTACTATATGTAGGGTGGGGAACATGTTAATTATAATTTGATTCCAAATTTTGGCATTATAGTTATGTAAAAAACGTCAAGACGATATTGAAGAAGAACAAAATGTCAGGATTCATGATAATGATATTAAAATTTACTTATTTTCCATGCTAATCTTCTCTGTATCGTTCCAATTTTAGTATATGTGCTGCCGAAGCGAGCACAGCGGGAGCGATAGCACAGCGGGTAGGGCGTCTGCCTTGCACGCAGCCATGGCCGACCCGAGTTCGATTCCTCTGCCCCTCTCGGAGAGCCCGGCAAGCTACCGAGAGTATTAGATATGCCAGACACAGTAACAACAAAGTCTCCAATGGAGACGTTACTGGGCCCGCTCGAGCAAATCGACAATCAACGGGAGGGCCCTTTACCTTTACTTATTTTATTTTTGGGCCATAGCAGTAGTTCTCAAGGGCTACTACCAGCTCAGTTGTTGCCCCGAAAAGTGCTCTGGGGAGCAAGTTTGGGACTCTTGCATGCAATCATATGCTCCTGTCCCTTGAACTATTTCTCTGACTTTAAAACTTGTTTAAAGTTAAGATATTGTAATGCTAGCATAATAATAGGAAAATAAGGTGCTTAAAAGTAAATTTGAAGCTATATGGAAACCTGATTTGCAGAGATCAAAAAGCTGATTTTCAATACATACTTAAAACTTATAATGCATGTTTCTGTAGTAAAAATTTTATTTGAAGAAAATTTTGATTGTAACATTCATGTTAACCTTAACCAGAAAGACCTTAACCCTTAACCAGAAAGACTTTCAAGAGCCTTTTCTGATTTCTCCCCTTACAACATATCTGTCAATTAATGCTCTCAAAGCATATCATTTTAAAAGTAAAAGGATACATTCTGGTTTGTCTGAAGTATAAGTTTGTTGATATTAAGTAACACATTTTGTTTCTTTCATTTCTCTTATCTAGCAAAATGCAAAACACAAATTAGATGCTAAATGCTAAATAAAACTAAAATGAAATTTTAGCAAATAGACTTAGCAAATGAAAGGTCCTAAGTAATTCTAAATGCTTGTGGGTACTTACTAAGTATTGGTTAATAATAATTATCATTAATATAAATTTCATTTAGGATTCTATCTAGACTATGATACATCACTCAGATCATCACTATCATCCAGATACCTTAAAATTCACTTTAAAGTTTCTAATAAGAATTCAGTCGATCTTTAAAGATCAATTTAACAAAAAGATTTTATTTTTATTAAAAATATTAATTCTATGTTTCCAACTATTTCTTTAGCATATGTGCACCAATAGTCAAGTAAATCAACAGTGGAATAGTCACCACTGTTTTCTATTTTTCTAAAACATGTCTCATACTTCTTTCTATTTCTCCCCATATTGTATGAAAAAATGGTGTTTTAACAAAAGACTTCTGAGTTGATATCACTAAGTGAATGTGTCTCATAATAATTTAAAGGCTGGTGAGATGACTCAAAGTCTGTAGTGCATAGTTTGTAAACTGAAGGTCTGTTGATCCCTGGTCTCTCACGATCTCCTAAGCACTACTCTGAGGACCATTTGATGTAGTTATACCTCAAAAGAATTTACATTCTTTCTGTTTCTCTTCTGGCTTTTGGGCCACACCAAAACCTATGTTTGATGTGCTCAAGGGTTACTCTGGGCTCTCACTCAGGAATCACTTCTTGGGGGACCATATGGGCTATCAGGGATTGAACCCAGGTTAGCTGCATGTAAGATAAGCACCTTATCTGCTGTACTAACTCTATGGCCAGAATTTCTTTTATATTGACAAAATTATTTTAAACTAGAAATAACAATGCATTTATCTAGAATAGGGATTGTGCCCTTTTGGTTTTCTATCTTTGGAACTTTGATTCAAAATGTCATTGAATGTAACAAATAAACTAATATACAAAAAATGAGGGAGTAGATTATTTACTTACACACATAGATGACCATTGTAGGTATACTGTTAATAATGCTATCGGAACATGTAATCCTTGAAATGCAGTGGTTACAGACAAGTACAGATATATCCAGATCATTCCCAGGCATTTTATAATCAAAGCGTTCATTATTTGTATGATCTGGAAAAAAAAGAATGCCATTACTTCATAGTACTATTTTATTACTATTGTTTATTATTTTACCAATCCAACTTTTCTATTTTCTTTTTTATCTTTGGGTCACACCCAGTGGTGCTCGTGTTACTCTTGGTTCTGCGTTCAGGAATCATTCCTGGAAGTGCTTAGGGGGCCATATGGGATGCCAGAAATTGGACCCAGGTCAGCCTCCTGCAAGATAAACACCTTACCGCTGTACTATCTTTTCAGCCCTTGCAATCCAATCTTTGAAAAGAATACAAACGGAAAAAAAAATGCCAGGGTGAAGAATGAAGGTGATGGCTTAACAGAATTCTGCATTTTTAAATATCAAACTCAGATAAAAGAGTTTGCTATTATTTCAGAGCAATTTTTAGATACGATAACTATTTACCTGGCCACATATTTTACCAGTATCCTATTTAACTACTTGGTTCACAGTATATGATGAGAATCCAGTCTTTTATGAACTAATTTCCCTCAATATGCATCGTTCTAGTGTAATTAAACAATGCTTACTTATAGACATAGCTATTATGTTTTTTTTAAATAATTTACTTTATCACTGGTATCATTGGTTTATAATCTTATGGAAATTCAGAGATTTACTTTCACAGTTCAGTTCTGTATATACATAATTCCCACTAATCCCACCACAATGATGTTCTAGTGCCATATCACCACCATAAAGTCCCCTCCACTTTTTCTTCCAGCCCCTCTCCCTTTTCCTCTAGTTACCACCATATTTTTCACAAAGTCTTAAGAGTTAGTTAGTTGTTTTTTTTTTCCAGGGTTTCCCCTTTCAGTACACTAAGCTTCTTATGGGTGAAACATTGTGGCAATTGTCTTCTGTTTTCTTTCTAATTTTATATACTTTCCTTCTTAGGATAATCATCTCGAGTCACCCTCTTCCTCTCCACAAAGAACACACTTTTATTATTTTCTTTCTTTCTTTCTTTCTTTCTTTCTTTCTTTCTTTCTTTCTTTCTTTCTTTCTCTCTCTCTCTCTCTCTCTCTCTCTTTCTTTCTTTTGCTTTTTGGATCACACCCAGAGGCTGTGCACTGAGGTTACTCCTGGCTCTGTACTCAGAAATCACCCCTGGAAGTGCTCTTGGAACCATATGGGATGCTGGGAACTGAACCCGGGTTGGCTGCGTGCAAGGAAAATGCCCTACCCGCTGTGCTATTGCTCCAGCCCCAAGAACACACTTTTATTATTTTAAATGGCCGCGAGACGTCTTATCAGGACATCTTTTTATGACATCTTATTATCTCATTCCTACTTTGGACAAACTTGCAGGCTATCGAATGTAGCCTGCCCACAGGGCAGAGTCTGGCAAACTCCACGTGGCGTACCAAATATGCCAAATACCAGTAACAATGATGGGTCTCATTCTCCTAAAGAGCCTTGAATATAATCTCAGGGCTAGGATGAAAGAGACGTTACTGGGGCCTGCTCGAGGCAATCGATGAATAACAGGATGATGAAATGAAAAAATGAAATGAAATGGAAGGATAATATTCCTTCGGTTATATCTCTCACAGTTTCTTATTCAATTGTCTGTTACTTGGCATTTTGGTGATTCCATGACCTGGTTCTTGTACTTTCATATCATGCAGGCGATGCCTATAAGTGATATCACTGGATCTAAAGGAATTTAATTTTAATTTTATTTATTGGGGCCCTATCTCTGTTTTGTGCTCTGGGCCACCAGAGGGCACTCTTAGAAGTTGTCAGAGGGTCATATGATATCAGGGATCAAATTCAATGACTCAGACATACTAGGCATATGATTTACCACTTGAGCAATCCCCCTACCCATTCTAATTTTATTTTAAAAATATTTATTTATTTATTTAGCCAGACTTGGAAATGTTTGGGGCTTACTCCTGGCTTTGCACTCAGGATCACTTCCGGTGGTACTTGGAAGACCATATGGGATGCTAGAATTGAACTTGGGTAAGCAGCATGCAAGGTAGGCAACTTACCCACTGTATTATCTCATTGGGCTCTCCATTATTATTATTATTTTAAGGAACATATATATCATTTTCCCACAGAGGCTTATATTGCCAATTTATATTCCCACAAACAGTGTCTCTGAGTTCTGTTTTCTCCCCATTCTCATGCAAACTTGTTTTCGACCTTTTGGAGTTAGACCATTCTCACTGTATAAGGTAACATGTGGTTTTGATTTTCAATGACTGTATTGACTATGTATAACACTCTGGGCATTATTGCCTTTTGATCATGTTAATCTTCCTAATCCATGAACAGGGGATGTGTTTCCTTTTCCTAGGTCTTTCACCTCTTTTGTCATATGGATTACTAAATACTTGGTTTTCTGAGGCACAATTAATGAATGGGATTGACTCTTAATTTTCTCTCTCTTATATTTCATTATTTGAATGTAGAAAATTCATAGATGTTTTTCATGTTGAATTTGTATCCTGTCACTTTTCTATTTGTCTGTTGTTTCCAGGAGCTTCTTATCTGTGATACTTCATGTTTTATTTCACCTTTTATTTTCTTATTGACCCAATAGTTGTTCAGTGGCATATTTTCCCCCACACAAATTTGTGGGGATTTTTTAGCTTTCTAAATTGGTCAATTTTCTTTTCTTTTCTTTTTTTAAAAAATTTTATTGAATCACCGTGAGATGGTTACAAGCTTACAGTCACACAATGATCAAACACACATCCCTCCACCAGTGCACATTTCCCAACACCATTATCCCCGGTATACCCCCTCTTTCCCACCCTCCCCCTGCCTCCATAACAGACAATATATCCCATAGTCTCTCTCTACTTTTGGGCATTTTCCTGGTAAACTGTCATTTTTCTTAATCTTTTAAAAACTAATATTTTTTCTTTTTCTTGTTTATACTATTAATATTTTGGGAATACAATAATTTTTTAAAATTATACATTTTAAAAAATATTTAAGCAAAAGTAGATCCCTAGAAATTCATAAACATGGTCATTCCTTGGCTTCAAATTTCTCTGCCTTCAGTGTACAGTTTTTCTATACTTGTCCCAAGTTTTAGATGTGATTTTGTAGGAAGAGGGAGACATTTCTATACT